AGGTGGGCCAAAACCAGCGGCGCAACACGCTGTGCAACAGTTCCTGACCGTAGGATGGTGATTAGAGGAGGCATGGAGGTTGAGCAGGATGCGGGTTCTGAATCTGAGGAGTCAAAGTGACGCAGAGACTTCTGTATGGTGAGAAAGAGAACAACTACCCATTCATCGGCTTGTAGCCGATACGGAGGTTGGGATGTTGCGTGGTGTGTGCATCAGATCCACATGTTCTCCAACGCGGTGCCAGTGGCATTCGTGGTCTTCGTGCACACTCATGGCTTAATGTACTGAGCCCATCTGCTGGTGGGCTCAGCCCCAGACATGCCAAGGAGCCCCAGAAATGTCCACCAGCCCAAGGCTTGGACCCGAGTCCAGCCCAGGAGAAGCTGGCCAACCACGACAACCACGTTGCGAGGCGGCCGCCGCAGCAGCAGGAACATATACCCTTGCTCCCCCCGCAGACAACCCTGCTGACCCTGGGATCTCGCGCGCACGGCTTCGTAATTACGCACGTCGCGCGCGACACGAGAGCGAAACACTATCTCTCGACGAGGGCGGCCCCGAACCTCCAACAGAACGCATCTGGGCCGGCTTCACACTGGCTCCCCCCTCCGCGCGCAGGCACTCCCGCGGGGCCTCATTCTCGTGGCCCTCGACTCGCCCCGCGAACTCGAAGCTCGTGCTGGAGCCTCCGCCGGTCGCTTTCCACAGCGAGCAGGTGGAGTCGAAGGACGTCACCGCCAGGACCTGTGGCAATTCATGGGGACCGCCCATGCCATCTTGTTGGCTCTTGCGAATCGAAGCTCCGACACGGCCCAAGAGGGCTCCAAGACGGCCCTAATGGCGCCGAAGACGGCCCAACAGGGCTCAAAGACAGCCCTAAGAAAGACCCAAGAGGGGGACAACATACGGAACATTCACGCCTTCCGCCCCAGAAGGCCCCGAGGAGGCCCCCAGGAGGCCCCCAAGAGGCCCCGGGAGGCCCCCGAGAAGCCCCGAATACGCCCCAAAGGGGCCCCCAAACGGCCCCCCCAAACGGCTCGCAAGAGGCCCCCGGGACGCCCCCCGCGACATCCCAACGGGCATCCTGGACGCCTACGACCCACAACCCGGGCACGGCCGCGGGATGGGCCGAAGGCCACTCGGGCAACGGTGCCCGCTGCATTGCCGCCCCAACCTCTTCCTGTCTTTCCCCTGCCTCACACAGCCACCCTGCCCAAACTCCGAACAGTGGCTTCCCGAGCAAAGAGGAGAGGGACGGGGGGGGGGCGGAGCGCATAGAGCAAAGCACCGAAAGAGGAACAGCATGTGAGCTATTGGACAAAAAAGGGAGGCGGCATGCAATGAATATGGAGGGGACAGATCCGAAGGGATCAGCGTTTCACGACCAAGGCGGCGTAAACATCTGGTAGCGTGTGGGGCGGCATCACACGTATGTTGTATATGTGTTTTTCGTGCCTCGCATGCGTCCCGTCGTTTTTTTAGGAATCACAATCATCTGTGTACCGGAATGAAGCGCTTATGTTAGGGTGGTTGTCCAGGTTTCGAGCTTTGGTTGTGCGTGCTTAGGGTATCCGAAATCGCATTTCCAGACAAGCGGCTCGTTGAAAGGAGGTAGTCGCAGCAAAGATATAATCCACCCTGGCATCCACTTATAGCACCTGATATCACCTTAGCAACCTCAGCGGTCATCCCGCTGAAGGCCCGGAACGGCCAACGCGCAGCTCGGCTACTCACAAGAGTGACCAGCCCTGGGCAAGAGTGACCTTTGGTGCGCGGCTTCAGGGGGCCGCGGAGGGGGAGCGGGGGGTGGGGGAGGCAAATCCAAGCGTGTAGGCCACTGTTCGAGGGCAACCCTGTGGGCCCGCACCAACGGTCACCCCGGCGAAGGGTCGCTCTTACGCGTAGCCGAGCAACGGCAAGGGACGCTGCGCAACCCTCGAAGCCTCGACCCTCGGCATCCGACTCCGACCCTCGAGGACTCCTAGATGGGGTCCGAGCTGACGGGGTCGGAGGATCGCGCCGCATCGCCAGTCCAGCGACGACGCATCGGCGATGCATCGGCGACGCCGGCGATGCATCGGTGACGCCAGTGGAGAAAATCGAGCTCCGCATAGGGTCGCATCGACGACGCATCAGCGATGCTTCGGCGACGCTGGCGCGATCCTCCGACCTCACCTACTCGGACCCCATCTGGGAGGCCCACAGCAACGCCAAGGGACGCAACCCTCGATTCCTCGATCCTCGGCATCAGGCTCCCGCCCTCGAGAGATCCCCTCCCAACCCCCGACATCATGACTTCTTTATAGCGTCGACCCCCAGAGGTCTCGACCCATTCCCCCAGGACCGGATCTTCCTCCTGAATCCTTTCTGGACGGCCCCGGGGCCCGGTAAGGGCCTCCTGGGGCCGAACGTAGCGAAAAACCTCCCGCCGTGATTTTCGCTTGACTCGATGGGGGGAGGAGGAGGAAGAGGAGGAGAAGGGGGAGGAGAGGGGAGGAGGAGGAGGAGGAGGAGGAGGAGGAGGAGGAGGAGGAGGAGGGAGGAGGAGGAGGAGGAGGAGGAGGAGGAGGAGGAGGAGGAGCAGGAGGAGGAGGAGGAGAGGAGGAGCCCAGCGCATTGGAGGAGGCGGAGGAGGCGGAGGAGGAGGAGGAGGAGGAGGAGGAGGAGGAGGAGGAGGAGGAGGGGGAGGAAGAGGCTCTGGGCTTCGAGCCCCCCCCCCCCAGGCGAGAGGCGAGGCGGACCTCGCCGCGGTGGCCCCAGGCCAGCGACCGCAGCGTGCGGCCGTGCTGCTCGGCCGACTCCAGCTCGGACAGCAGCGCCCAGGCGTCGCAGGCCGCGGCCTCGTGGCCCCGCGGCGCGGGGCGCGGGCGCCAAGGCGTCTGGACAAAAATCGTGACGGAGGTCGCCCATACATGGGGAGGCCAGTCCACAAGAAACCTTCCACGAGAAGCCCAACCCTGAGACCCCGGGGCCCCAGGACGTCCATCGATGGAGCTTTTGGCGTCGGAGCGTCACGCTCGCCATTCCACAGCAGAACCATCGAAGCCCAAGAAGCCCAGGGCACCCTGGAGGCAAGCAGGGTGTTTCTTGGCATGGGTCTCCACTGTAGTTTGAAGCGGGCGTCGCTCCGCTCAATGGGGGGGCGACAGTGGTGGGGGGTGGAGAGGGGTGTACTCCTCTGGCCCCTCAGGACCCCAGATGGCCCCTTCAGGGGCCCAGTCGGGCCCCTGTTCTGCGGCCCTCCTCGCCCCCCCCTCCCCATTCATCGCCCCCCCCCCCCCCCCCATGACGCGACGCCCAATTGATGCCCCTCGCGGCCTTTGCCGGGCCTCGGGACAATCAAACAGCGACTCGGGGCGAAAAAACAATCCAGGGGAGGTGGTCGAGGGCCCAAGTCTCGAAGAATCTAGACAGCAGATGATTGGGGAGTGGGGCTCTTTTTTCTCGTCCTCCTGGTCTCATCTCCTCCTCCCTCCGCTTCATTCCTTCTTCCCCCCTTCATGTCCTCATCCATCCTCCCTCCTGCCTCTTCCTCCCCCTCCTTCTCCTCCTCCTGCACCTCGCGGTCCCCTTCTTTTTTCTCTCTGGAGAAGTAGTGGTCGCGTGGCTGAGCCCAGTCAGGAGCACATCTGACGCAAAACCCACGGCCTGCCACAATGCCGATTCCTCCGCCTCCTCCGCCCCCCTTTTCTCTCTGAGGCAAGCGGCGAGGCGCGAGCACCTGGAGCGTGAGCCTCCTCCTCCCCCTCGCCGTTGTCCTCCTCCTCCTCCTCCTCCTCCTCCTCCTCCTCCTCCTCGCCCTCCTCCTCCTCCTCCTCCTCCTCCTCCTCGCCCTTGCCCTCCTCGGGCTCGACACGTGCACCGGGCATCTCTCCCAGAGCCGGCGGGTCCGGCGAGGGCGCCGTGGGATGCTCCGAGAGGGTGTCGAAGACCGCTCTGAGCAGCGGCCCGTCCTTTGGTCGCAGGCCCGCCCGCGAGGCGGGAGCCGCGTGAGGATGGGGCCCTGGAGCCCCCCGGAGTCCGGAAGGTGTCGAAGAAGGCTCTGGAGAGCGGCCCGTCTCTTGGTCGCAGGCCCGCCCGCGAGGCGGGAGCCGCGAGAACTATGGGGCCCGGGAGTCCCCAGGAAGTCTGGTGACAGACCGCTCCAGAGCGCTGTGGGATGCTCCGAGGGTGTCGAAGACCGCTCTGGAGCGGCCCGTCTTGTGGTCGCAGGCCCGCCTGCGAGGCGGGAGCCGCGAGAACTATGGGGCCCTGGAGTCCCCAGGAGGTCCGGTGACAGGCCGTGCGACGACATCGAGAGCCCGAAAAGGCCTCGCAGCGCGGCCCGCCACCGCACGGCTTTTGGGACCTCGGGGGCCCCAGCCCCCGTCGTGCATCTCTCGGAGAAGGACCCCATTCCCCAAAGCATGCGGTCACTCCGACTCCCCACCGACTGCACTGACTCACCCGACGGCGAGGTCACCGCACAGTGCTTGGGACTCCCGAGGGACGGAATGGGAGGGGGACGGCAGCTGCTTTCCCATCGCCCGCCACGAGGCTTTCGGCCGCCCGCGTGTCTTCCCCCATTCGAGGGGGGAGTCAGGCCGGCACGGCTGCCGACGTGCTGTGTGCGCCGAGCGCAGGCAGCCTTCGCCCTCCTCCAGGGGCTCTTCAGCCTCACTAGCACTGCACAGAAGCCTCGGACCAAGGTCACTCGAAGGAAGCCCGCCACAAGGCATCTGAGCCGCCCGCCTGCCTTCGCGCCCCACAGCCTCACCGTGCGGTCGGAGCCGCACGACGCCAGCTGCGGCGGGTCCGCCCCTGGCCGCCACGCGACGCACCAGACGCGCTCCTCGGGGGCGGACCCCCTCGGCTGCCCCGAGCAGCTCGAGGGGGGCGGGGGCGGGTGCTACCAGGGGTGTTCCTGGCCCAGGGTGTGCCCAGGATTTCCAGGGAGGCCCCCGCGGCCTCCAGAGCACCCCTTGAGTCATGAACAAAACACGACGGAAAATTTTGTGATTTCCAGCCTCGGAGGGCCCTTGGCGGGCCTCGGGACCGTAAAAAACGCCTCGGGATGAAAACGCAATCCTGGGGAACGGGTCGAGACCTCTGGGGGTCGACGCCATCAACAATCATGACGTCGGGGCTCTGGGCCACGAGGCCCAGAGATCGCCAGGGGGCCCCTGAGAGGCGCGAGTTCCAGGACGTCCAACGTCGGAGCCCGGGGGGTGAGACGCTCCCCCAGGGGCCAGCTCTGCATCCAGACTGGCATGGCTCGTAGGCGGCCACGGGGGCCCCGGAAGGCCGGGAGGGCAACGAGGCACTTCGGCCCACACGTCGGGCGCTTCGATTTTGCCATCTCGCGGGCCCCCAAAACGCCCGCCTCTCGACTGAGACGAGAACTGGATGAGGATACGCTCGGACGGAGGATACATCCGGAATCTCCCAGGAACGGCGGCTCTGGGTGACGTATCGGTCGCCGGGGAGGATGCGGAGAAATTCGGACCGAAGGCAAGTCGGGGACCTGCCGGAAATGGCAGATCTGGGTTACGTATCGGTCGCCGCGGCCGCTTTCAGAGCGCTCCCGAACGCTCCGAGAGCGGTCAGGAATGCCTCCGACAGCGCCCCCGAACGCTCTGGAGCGAGTTGCATACCTACGAGACCGGTCAAAGGTCGCCGATCAGGAGGTTGGGTGGGTGGGACGGGGCCAACGACGGGACAACCATCGGGACAACCATCCATCCATCGAACAGTCTCTATCGGTCTATATATATATATATATATATATATATATATATATATACATATATCGATCCCACGACGCATCGATCTCAATATATCGATGTCGTTGTCCATTTACCGATCGCACAATATGTGAATCGGTCTCACTATTTTACCGATCCCATTGTCAACACATACGTCCATCTGAATATCTATCGGCCTCGATATCGATCTCACGATACTCGTATCAATCAATCAACCCATCTACTGTCGGGACAACCGTCGGGCCGACGATTTGGACAACCGTGAGGACATAACCTCTATCGCTCAGTTAATCGATCGACCTCACGATATGGAAATCTCGATCTATGTATACCAATATCCCTGTCTGTAAATGTGTACCGATCGCACTGTAACTATACACAGCTGTGTATGTACTTATGTACGTATTAACAGCTGCATGTGCTTACATTACAATGAACATCAACCACACGATCTATCTAGCTGTGTATCGACCTCACTGTCTCTCTTTGGGCTTCATGGTCGATCGATCGACCTCACTATCGTTATGTTTGTCGACCTCGCTATCTATCGGATTAACTCTCGGTCGATCGATTTCAGATCAATCCATAACCCATCGGGACAACCATCGGGACAACCATCGGGAGAACCATCGGGTCAACCACCGGGCAACCATCGGGACAACCGCGTGACAACCACGGGACAACCACAGGACAACCGCAAGAAAACCGCGGAAGAACCCCAGCCCAAAAGCCGGGACGGGGGGGAGGGGGCGAAACATGTACTCTGACATTTTGCCCCAACAACCGCGGACTCACTCCTATCGCCCGCACAGACAGCCACTACGACCCGCCCGCACGCGCTGCACGACCACGAAACTGAAACCGACTCTTGGGAAACCGAAAGGTACCGATACCGCTACTCCCAGGACCTCTCCCAAGGTGCCTTCGGACCAGAATCTCGAGGCGAATCCAGCGGTGGCGACGAGGGCCTCCGCGAGAAGGCCCCCACGAGGGGAAAACGAGGGATGGGTAGCGGTTATGGGTACCTCTGCCTCCTACGAGACTTCCCAGCGGGGGGTCTCCGTTTCGCTTCGATCTCGCCCCCCGACCTCCAGTCCATCAGTCAAGTCTGCCCGTCGTGGACGGGCGGAACTTCCAAGCCCCCCACGGCATACCTCTCTCACGAGGTGGGCACATCCCCAAAGTGCGGGACCCCTCCGCGAAGGCCCACAGGCCTGGAGCCCCAGACCCCCTCGAGGAATGACAAAAGTCACGACGGGAGATGCTTCACAATGTGTGGCCGCTGGGGGGCCTGTCTTGTACCGGGCCTCAGGACCGGAAAAGACCGACTCTGGATGAAAAACCGGCCCCGGGCTCCACGAAACCTCGGGGGGGCCGAACGTCCTGAAGAAACCGTGACGTCCTGAGGTTTCTCCCCCCGACGGCCCCCCGAAGCAGCGGAGAACGGCAACAGCGATGGCCACACCGCAAGCTCCCGAGGCGGGGTGGGGCACTCCGGCCCAGGCCGTCGATGAGTGGGCGAGGGAGGTCGGCGCTTCCCCTCGGAGCCTATGATGGGGAACGTTTGCTTCGCGCGTCGGGGCTTCACTCCAAGCGTTTTCAGGAGCAGGTCCAGAGATGCGAACGTTTGACGACGCAACAGCTCAGAGAGAACGCACGGGGTCCAGGCCATGTGCTTGGGGCTCTCTCGTGCGTAGTCTGGGGCCCATGGAAGCTGCTGCTTGTTTTTCAGATCTCTGATGGCCGCATGCCCTGCAAGCTGGTGGCGTGTCACTTTGCTTCGCGGGATGGGGGGCCAGACGAAGCTCGGAACGCTGATGCTCTGGGACTGGGCCGTGGTCGGCGTGTCGCGCCGAAGCGTGGTGGACCAGAACCGGCGGCGCGACACGCTAAGCCAAAATTCCCGACTTCATGCGAGTGCACTCGAGCAACATTTGTTTTTTTTTTCGGATTTTGATACGGAGGTCCCCGGCAGTGCTGACTCACTCCCGAGGGCCAGCTTGTCATGACGAGCTTGTTTTTACTATTTCGGGCCACGGTCGTTGGTGCCCCAGGCCCCAGGTAATGGTAAGGCTTGGGCGGGATGGGGCACGTGGGGGCGGTGGTGCGCTTCGATCGCCACAAGTAGCTTGGGCGCGAGCACCAGCGAGTGAGGGGGGGGTCCAAGCCATCCCTGCCACGCACATTTGTTACTGTTGGGTCGAGGATCTTCTGACCCGGGTCAACCCAGACCTGGGTCAGTCAGGCCTTGCAGAATCCTGCAAAATCCTGTTGGATCCTGCACCCAAGCCTGGGCCAATGCGAAGGATCCTGCAAGATCCTGCAGGATCCTGCGCCCAAGCCCGGGTCTATGCGACCCTGGCCCTGCAGGAACTTGCAAGATCGGGCGTGCTGGCTGACCCCCGTTTGCGTTGACCCCCGTCTCAGGGCCCCTGATTGGAGAGAGGGGTGGGGGGTCCTGGGCAACGACCGTTGCGCGCCATATAGGGTGCGGCCGGGGGTCTACTCTGGTGGGGGCCCACGAAAATCTGTCAGGAAGGGGGACGAAGCCAAATCCGCTCGAAGTCGGTCCCCGGACTTCTCCCGGGCTCCATCTGGTGTGATGTTTCGCCCCAGATCCCTTGCTGACGGTCCCCGGGGGCCAGAGGCCGGACCACGGGGAACGACTGTCCAAGCCCAGCGCCTCCGACCTGCCCCCCGCTTCCCCTCCTTCCTGCCGGCCGGAACCAGCGCTGTGCCACCTCCGGCCCCCAGCCGACGCCAACCAGAGGGTAAAACAAACAGTCTCCCTCCTCGTGAACTTTCGGTGGCAAGTCATGGGGGCCTCCCATACCATCCTGTCGGCTCTTGCAAGTCGACGCTAATCGACGCTAACCGACGCCAGATCGGCGCTATCTCATCGACTCTCAGACGCTATGCCAGGCTCCCATGATTTGGTACCGAATGAGCTCAATTCGCCCCCGCGGCCCTCGGCCTCGTGCCCGGTCAGCGAGGCCACGCGGGCGAGGCGCGGCATGACCCGGCGCCCGCGCCCGCTGGGGATGCGCTTGGTGGGGGCTCGTCGGGCCGAGGTCCTGAGCCAGCCTGCCAGACAGAGTTCCGAGGCTCCGACATGAATCGGGGCGCCCCGTTTTTGGAGCCTGATTTGTTAGACTCTGCCAAGTTTACGTGCATGGACGGGGTGGGTGGGGGCCTGCACCTGAAGCAATCCGCAAACGACTTGACATGCGCAAATCACGCAAGTCGAAAGGCACTTGCACGCTCGTGTTCGATTGAAGAGGGGCGAGGGCGGGGAGGAAGGGGGGGGGGGGGGGGGGCGAACGCCATGCAAATAAACTCGCTTGAATCTAAAGAAAACAAGCTCTTGGGAATGTTTTGGAGGCCCCCGCCATCAGCGGGCCCCCGGACCGTCAAAAAACGACTCGGGGCGAACAGCCGGCCTTCTAGCAGGAATAGGGTCCAGGCTTAGGTCGGGCGTGTCCCCCTACAGGCGGATTTTGGATGAAAAATAACAATAAAAAATATATTTAAAACCATATCCTGGCGAAGGACCCAACCATATGCAGCTGTGACTGCCGCATTATAGGTACCAAATGGGGCGGCGCCGCCATGTGGACCCTGCAACTGTGGCCTTCGGTAGAGCTCCCTATGGGGCCACGAACCGTGTGAGGGGTGTGTCAAAATGGGGCGGCGCCGCCATGTGGACCCTGCCACTGGGGCCTTCGGTGGAGCTCCCTATGGGGCCACGAACCGTGTGTGAGGGGCGCGGCGCTGACGATGGCGATGGTGATACTCATGATCATGTGGATCATGACGATGGCGATGATGATGACGATGATGACGCTGACGATGACGAGGCGGATGGGAGGAGGGAGGAGGGGAAGGAGGAGGGGGAGGAAGGAGACGGAAGGAACGCGGGGCGCTGCCTCTTCAAAACGAGGACCCAACACCACAGGATGATTGGTGGGAAAAAATCAAAATGACAGAATAATCGTCTCTATATTATTTTTAACAATTTTTGAATATTCCTCCTGTAGAGGGACGTGCCCGACTTAAGAATAGGGTCCCGGTCTCCGGTGGCCCACGCAGTGGAGGAAAAATTGGATCGCCAGAGGTCTGGGAAGAGAAAGTCTGGGCAGATGGCGTGCCAAAGGATCGCGCCGCATGGCCGATGCGTCGCCGATGCATCGTCGACGTCGGCGGTGCACTGGCGACGTCGACGTGGAGAGCATCGGGCTCAACGCCGAGCCGCATCGCCAATGCATCGGCGATGCGGCGCGATCCCTCGACGCCAGCTACTCGGACTCCACTTAGGAGGCCTAGATTGACTGTCGGCCCTGCCCCAGACCTCCAACGTCTCGGAAAACAACAAAACGGTATTTGTTTCGCCGCCGACCCTGTATCACCTCCCCTCAGTATTAGGCGTCTCACTTCTTTCGTGCAGGGCATTTGCCCCTGGAGCTCTCACGGGTTGATCTGGCTCGAGAGATGCCGCGGAAAGATTGTGTCGGTGGCGCTGTCACCAGCGCTGCTGCCGCCGCTTCGCTGAGAGCGTAGCTGGCGTTGGTCTGACCTGGGATCGAACTGCCAATCCAGTGTTGCAAATGGAACCGAGGCAGGGACCGGCATTGCGAGCCAGCAGTGCAGCTGGCGCTGAGGTGGGAGCATAGCGTTGAGCCAAGAACATTGCCAGGGAGTTGGCTGGACTTGCAGTGCTTGGCCAAGATCGTGAAGGGGTAGCGTGGCCTGCGCGAAGCCGAAGGCACAGTTGTGGGGTCAGACCGTGGCCCGCGACAAAGGCTGCCGCATTGCTGGGTCCACTGCTCCTGTTGTCACGATCGCTGCTGCTTGTTCTGCTCTTGGCTGACTGCTGCTGCCTCTGGGCTGGCAGCATGGCTGTCGCCAAGATTGGAACGCCACTCCAGGCCGCAAGCGTCGTCGACACTGAGGGAGCGCCGTCCCTCAGCTGGAAGCGCGGCTGGCGCTGAAGCGGGGGCACTGCCCTGAGCCAGGAATGTGACTGGCAACGCGGCTGGAGCACCATTCTGGACCGAGGAGGCGGCCAGGGCTGCGGCGACAGAACTACGACTGGAATTGCGAACGTGGCCGCAACGGGTGGCCAACGCTGAGGCGACAGCACCACTCCAGGACCCCTGGATGCAGTCGGCAGCAGTGCGGCAGCACCATGCCTGGTACCCAACGCGAGGTCGAGATCACAGCTCCAGGGCCCGGGAACCAGGTGGGAAGCAGAACGCGCCGCCGCCGCGCTTGCCACCCACGGAGCGCGCGGGAGCTCACGGCAGGCGGTCCCAGGCTGCTGCAGGAAAGTGGGAGCTCGTCAATTGCAAGCATTCCTTTTCGCGCTGCTCGATGCTCGCGCTCCAAGGCTCGAGCGCCGCCACAGCTCGCAGGGCGCTATCTTAAACGCTCTAAGCAGCATCGGCATTTTCTGGTCGGAGACCTAGCTACGCATTCATTGCCCCAGTGTTAAGGCCTTTGAGACAATCAAGGCTCAACTCGCAAACACGGCACTGCTTCACAGCGAACGACTAATGTGCTTGCACGCGTAGCCTGCGTGACATCACACCGCAAGCAGAGATACGCGAGAAATGACGAAATGTCACGGGTACATCTGCGAATTCTCCGGTTCGGATAAGTGCAACACTGCAAATTCAGCTCCTCAGAGGTTATGCGGGCAAAGCTGCCTTGTGTTCAGCTTCACGACGTCAGTCAAGAGATTGCTCACGCTTTCGAGAGCATCGATGACGGCACCACTCGTGGTCTTGACCAGCAGGGTGCCCGTCTTGCCCGTAATGACCTTTCGAAGTTCCTTTTCCACAAGCCCCTGCCTGCCGTAGTCCCACTCAATCGAGCTCGAGGTGCTTGACCAGTCGTCCTGCGTTGTGTCCTCCCATTTGTGACCGAACTTGATCGGGTCGCTGTCGACGATGCTGAGCTCCATAGGAGTAAAGCCACTCTCCTCCACACAATTCGTTGTCGCTTGAAGGACAAATCGAAATGGATTGTCGCAGCACAGGTAATCGTTCACCCACTCTTTGCCGCCAACGTCTACCTTCACAAACACGTGCACGTTTCTGAAGATGCCGCTGAAAGTCATGTTCCACTGCTGTGGCGAATCAGTCAGCTTTGACGGCGGCAACACTCTCATGTCGGTTACCTCTAGAGTGTTGAGCCCTGTCACCCACAAAGCTGACGCATCTATATCACGGCCTCCGCTGTCTTGCGACACGTGCACCAATGGCGAACTGCCAGCACACTGCTTCTCGTGATCTTTTAGCTCATTCGCAGTATCTGGCATGCCGTGCGCGGCGCGGTACAGGGCCAACGATTGGCAATCCCCAGCGCTCTCTGGCATCCACCTTCGCAATCGGTCGTTTGCGTTCGGCAGGTAGACCGAGAGCATGGTGTTCACGTCGCTCAAGCTTGATATCTCCGGTGGAACCGCTGGCTTGAACGTGTCAAGGCAGACGACAACCGCGGTGGCAGTTACAACTGGACCTATAACCCAAACGAACTGGCCACCTGGCAGATGGGACAGCACATTATCGGAAGAATGACGACGGCCAGGTCGCAATATGCCTTCGGATTTTGTGAGGAGCAATTTGACCCCGACGCCCATGGCAAGAATTGCACCGACACCAATATACTGATCGGGAAAGTGCGCGCAATACTCTATAACGGCTCTGCTCCGCGACCTGGAGATGTAGTACACCACAACAATTGCAAGAGACCAGACATGGCCCATCACCCAAGGCCGGGTGAAACGCTCGGCGACCAGTAGGGGCCCAGAGTTTGGACCAAGAACGGCAACGATGGCGAGCAGAACAACCCACACGATCATCGCGAGAACAAACATGAAGGCTGCAAAGAACGACAGCAGATGATTGGAGTTTGCTAGGCTGTGCCAAAGGTCGAAGAGAGTCGGCTCCAAGTTGCTAATCTTCAACCCCGATACTCGGTACGTGAAGCCCAACACGGGCCTCGTGAGCCCCACGTACATGGCGATGCCGACGAAGAACACGAGCCCAGCTGCCCCGACCACGGAAAGGTAAGGCTCACCCGGAGACTCGTCCTCTCCAGACCCACTGTCCGAGAACGAGTCCTGACTGTCGAGGTCGAAGCTGATTTTGTGTTCTAAGAAGTACTGCCTGGAGATCGCTTTTTAATTATTCGAATGACGCCTGTTCCCCCCCCCCGCCCCCCCTGGTCATGTAACGCTCGGCGCCAGCACCGTCGGGGAACGTCTACCGGACGGCGCCAGCGCAAATCGTTACGATCCCCTCCGCCGCCCCCGGCAACGCTCGTCTGTGCCAGAAGAGAATGAACAAATACGGCTCCTGTTGTGATCCATCGTCTTGACCAGCTCTCGGCTTGACTCTTTAGCATCTTCGCCATTCGGGTACACGATTCCACGGGATCCTCGAATGGACTTGTGCTGGGGCACGCCATGGTGAGCGTCACTTACTGACACGCAGTCTGCGTTGGGATCCAACGACTGCGCCAGGATGTGGGAAGTTATGCAATACACCACCAGGCTCCAGAAGCCCCACTCGAACGAAGCCTTGAATTGCAAGGCCTGGAAAAGGACGTCGCCAGCACCTGGTAGGTTCAGGAACGACACGAACAGCATGAGGTACATCGGGTTCGTGAACCTGAATAACGCGCGTTTGGCAAGCTCCCCACGGATGGTCTGCAACACGCCACCGGGCACGAACGAGGGCTGCACGAGTGCCGTCAGGAGGCCTGCGAACTGGAGCGGGGGGTAGATCGCGCTGTTGGTCGCCACGACGAGCGCGGAGCACGGCAGCCGCTTGTCGTAGAACTCGCCAATCATGTCGATGTACGAGCGCTCGGAGGTGAGGCCGCTAACCTCGCCGGAGCCAGTCTCGTTCTTGAACTTGCTGACGGACTCGTCTCCATTGACCCACTGGGTCCGCGGCCAAACAACCTGGGTTGATACCAACGGCCTCGACAGGCCGATGACCATACTCACAAAACAGATAGGCAGTAAGACCCACTGCCAGACGTACCTCTTATGCGGCGGCGTCTGCGGATAGCGCGGGCCGACCTCGGGATGCCTGTCGGCGTGGTCGAACGAAGCCGCGTGCGCTCGGCTGTCTTGATCGCCGCTTGCTACAAAGAGCAAGAGAGTCGCCACGAGCACTAAGAGGCCGAAAAGGTAAATCTGAAGGCCAGGCCTCTTCCACACAACCAATAAGCCCTCCTCGCTGTCCGGATCCCATCTGAAGTCTCGGAACACCAGATGCTCTTGGCCAAGGCTAAGCAGAGAGCAGAAGCCCTGACTCAGGAGCGCCCAGGACTCTAGCGACAGGTCGAGCCGCCAGAGTGAGATCCAGGCACACAGGACGGCAAGCACCAGAAGGACGGCGCCGAGCAGCACCCACGCCATCTCGTCCCTGGCGGCGCCGAAGGCGAAAACAAGGCCTGACATGGAGGTGGCGAAAGCATAGATGATGGGCAATGCGCCCCGCATCAGCCCGCTCGCGGCCAGCGCTGAGATCCTGCCACGCCGGAGGGCGAAGCTGCTCTCCACGTCGCCGACGTCGGGGACCTCTGAACTTGCGTCCTCCTTGCACTTCAGAAGGAGGGTGCCTATCAGGAGTGTGCCGAACATCAGGCTGGTGATCCACATGGCGCAATATATCAAGAACGGGGACCGGTACCCGCCGTCACAGCCGGCGATCTGACTGCCCAGGCCCTGGCTGATGTTGTCGTGCGGTCGCGGGGCGGCCCACGCCACGAGCGTGGAGCCGAACCAGACAAGTGCGCAAGCACAGCTCCGGCCCAGTGGCACGGGCGCGCCCTCGAGGAGATACCGCTCGGTGACCCAGCAGGCGGCCACCAGCAGGCACCTCACGATCGCCGCCGCCTTGCCCTCCGAATCTGTGGAAACGCCCATCAGCATCGGGATCGAGTTGAGGACAAGTCCCACGAAGACGATCAGGGCGCCGAATACGCCGAAGATGACTTTCATGTACACAGTGAACGCCCTGCCGCCCATGTCGCTGGGCCTTGTGCCGCTGAGCAAGGCCAGCCCCGCCGTGCATACCAACACAGACGAGACCGCAGAGAGCGTCACGGATCCGGGGGCGGGCGCAGGCAGGCCCCCGATCGGCATGGTGTGCGATGCTCTCGGGGCGCGCAGCTCAACGGCGCAGTCGCCAGAAGTAGCAGCGCATTGGGCCGCCACCTGCACGCCAAAACTGGTGGGCCTCGGTGGTTACGGAATGGCATTGCAACCACTGTGCGGGACAAATGAGGCACACTCCCCGAAAACACCATCGTTCGACGCGCCTGGTACCGTCCACGGATTGCTAGCATTCCTGCAGCTACTGTTGGTACCGTTCCAGCTACTGCAGCTCTTGATGTCACTGTCTCGCAGAGTGTCACTGGCAATAACACCTGTAACTGCACCCGTACCGAAACCGATGCCGCTGCGGACGATCCTGAATGCGCTGCTGCTGCCAGTGCTGACGAAACTGGGGTCGGGAGTGCAGTTGACGCTGACTCTGAGGCGGGGTGCCACTCTGAGTTGGATGTACAGGACGCGCGGTAAGGACGCAATGGCCTCGAACGTCGCCAGCCCCAAGAGTACCCTGAGAGGCTGGCCAGCGAAACAACTGCCAAGGACATGCCGCAGAGGCAAAGACACAAAAGGCACCCCTGGTAAACCGTGCGCCTTTACCATGCGCGTCGTTGGCGGCGCACACACATGGATACGGGGGAGGGGGGGAGGTCTTCTTAGAAGGAGGCTGCTTTCAGAACGTGCCCGTCATAGATCTACAGACGAGGCCCGCGCCTTCTGCGAACCAGGGGTGATTCGAAGAAACTTACCCCCCTCTGTGCGTGGCGGACTGGCATGTTTTGAGCCCACGACGCGCACGTCGCCCGAAGCGCTTCCGGGAAGGGAGGCCCTCCCGTGGTGGCCCCCCGAGGAAGGCTTCACCGAGGGCGGCTGCCGACGCGGAGGCGGCACCTGCGACGGCGGACTCGTGGTCATCGCCGCCATCGCCGTCATCGCCCCCCCGTGCGCGCCGCCAGCGTCACCACACTTTTTGCCGGTCTGCAGGCCCGGGCGAGCGCGCGGGCCGCTCTTGAACAGCTCGGGAGAGCGCCGAGCAGCTGCTTCTGAACACCGCGGGAGGTGGGGAAGCGCGGGGGCGGCGCGGCCGCGGGGAGAAGTTGACGCTGACTCTGGGGCGGAGCACCACTCTGAGCTGGACGCACAGGACGCACGGTGAGGACGCAGTGGCATTGGACGTCGCCAGCCCCAGGAGTACCCTGAGCGAGCGAGGGGAGGGGCAAATTCAGGCCATGGAGGTCTTCGTCAGCAGGCTGCGGCCCAAGCGCAACCGAGTCCCAGGCGCGGGACGGTGGCGTATGCGCAGGTCCCCTGATTTCTCTGCACCAAGCATTTCAAGTGCTCTTCGAGGGGCCAAGAGCCCTCCGAGTTTCGGGCGGCTGAGGCGGTGTCGACGGCTCCGAGACGGCCGAAGAGCGGTCCAGGACAGCCCAAAAAGGCCCCAAGACGGCCCAGCAGCCCCCCAAGACGCCTCAAGAGAACCACCAAAGGACCTGTTCCCAAGAGCCCCGCCACTCCGAAGAAAAACAACAGGGGCCAGCGGATGTGGCGCAAGCCGGTAGAATCCACGTCCGGAAGTGACGTGTTGCCGGAGGCAGGTCGCGGAGCGGAGTGGAAGCCCTAATGCAATCCAATGTATCCAATGATTGCGTAATTGCTACATATTGCATGGTGTTACATTGTTATCTCTCCCCCTGCCCCCCCCCGGAGTCGCGCCACTTCCGTCGACCCAAAGGTGGAGGGCCCCTTGTGGGCCTAAAAAACCAACAAACACCAAGGGAAAATCAATGATTTCGGCTCCTTGGGCCTCCTGGGGGCCCAAGAAGGCGTGAAGACGGCCTCAAGACGGGACAAGACCGCCCCAAGACGGCCCAAGATGGCCCCAAGAGGGCCCATGAGGCCCCCAAGAAGGTCCAAGAGGCCCCCAAGAAGACTCCCGAGAGCGCCTCTGGAGGCCAAAATCTTTGATTTTCTTTTAGTTTTGGGACAATTTCAACGTTCTCGCTTTTTTCGGCTCGCAGAAGGCCATGACGGCCCAAGCAGCCTCCAAGAAGGCCCCCAAACGGCCCAAGAGGCCTCCAAGGGGGCCCCAAGACGGCCCAAGAGGGCCCCGAGACAGCCAAAAAAACCTCCAAGACGGCCCAATACACCCCCCAGACGGCCCCAGAGGACCCCAAGAGAGCCCCAAGGCGGCCGCGAGAGGCTTCCAAAGTGGCCTCCGAAGTGGCCAGACGGCGTAAGAGCGCCCAAAGACGGCCCCAAAAAGCCCCTGAGACGCTTCCAAGAAGCTCCCAAGAGACTCCCAGGAGGCCCCACAACGACTGGACTGAACGTGCTCTGAATCACCCTCGGTGAGTCATTAAACAATAATCTCCCGCCCTGGGCGAACCGCGGCGCAGCGCCAGCCAGATGGAGGTTGGTCACGGCGGCGCCCGTGATCAGAGCCAGCGCTGGAATCAAACAAATCGCCCCGAAACTATATGTGGACTATTTTTTAATATTCCTCCTGTACGGCCCAAGGAGCCTCCGAAATGGCTCCAAGACGGCCCAATAAGCCCTCAAGGGAGCCCTCAAGAGGGCCCGCAGGCGGCCGAAGACGGCTCAAGCCGGCCCAAAGAGGCCCTCCGAACGCCTCACTGTACGACCTCACTGTACGTACTCCGGACGTGCACCCCGCGAAGCGAGAGGAATCCACGTCCGGAGGTGACGTGCTGAGCAGCAGCGTTTTCTGGCGAACGCCTTAATACAACGTATCCAATGTACCCGATGCTTGCATAATTGCGACAAGTTGGAACGCGTTACATTATAATGTCTCCCCCCCAATCCCCCCCAAGGGCCATGCCACATCCACCGACCCAAAGATGGTGGACCCCTTCTGGGCTTCAGAAACCCCCCTAACCGATTGAAAATCCATGATTTGGGCCCGTGGCCCTCCCGGGGGCCCAAGAGGGCTTCAAAATAGCTGACGCTGGGCTCCAGACGGCCCACGACGGCCCCGAGACGGCCCAAGATGGCCCCAAGAGGGCCCCCAAAGCGCCCAAGACGACCCAAGAGGGCCCCCAGAGGAGCCCCAATAGCACCTCCGCAAGCCCAAATCATAGATGTTCCGAAAAAAGTTTTGAAGGATTTTCGCGTTCTCGCTTTTTTCTACTCCTGACGACCCGACCCAAGCAGCCTCCAAAATCGCCCCATGACGGTTCAAGAAACGCCCGAGAGGACCCCAAGACGGCCCCAGAGGGCCCCCAGACGGCCCAAAGTGGTCCTCAAGACGGCCCAAAAGGCCCCCGAGACGGCCCAAGAGGACCCCCAGAGAGCCCCCAGGCGGCCGCGAGAGGCCCCCAATACGGCCTCCGCAAGGGCCATACGGCGCAACAGCGCCCAATAGGGTTAAAGACGCCCCCAAGAAACCCAAAGAGACCCCACAGAAGTCCCCAAGAGACTGAGAAGCCCCAAAACGACTTGACTGCACGTGCTCAGGACGTGCACCCCGCGAAGCGAGAGGAATCCACGTCTGGAGGTGACGTGCTGAGCGGCAGCATTTTCCGCGAATGCTGTAATGCAGAGTATCCAAGACATCAAAGTCTGGTGTAATTGCTCCATCTTGTATTGTTTTCGTTCCAATGTAGACCCCCCCTACCGCCACGCCACTTCCCACGCCACTTCCCCCGACCAAAAACAGGAGGACCCCTTCTGGGCCCCAAAACCTACAAGAACCGGAGGTAATCTATGATTTGGGCCCCTGGGACCTCTTGGGGGTCTACGAGGGCATCAAGACGGCTCAAGATAGCCTCAGTACGGGCCAAGACGGCCCGAAGACAATTCCAAGAGGGTCTGAAAAACACCCAAGACGGCCCAAGAGGGCCGCAAGAGCACCCCCAACAGCGCCACCAGAGGCAATCATTGATGTCCCTTCGGTAGTTAATCGAGCTTTTAGCGTTCTCGTTTAAGTTCGATCCTCCGAGGCCCATGACGGCGCCCAAGCAGCCTACAAGATGGCCCGAAACGGCCCAAGAAGACTTCAAGAGGGCCCCAAGACGGCCCAAGAGGGCCCCGAGACAGCCCGGAGAGGCCCAAAAACGGCCCAAAGATTTTTGCAACGATGCCTGGCAACATGCAACTGCTTAGTTTGAAGGCGTGCGCTGCCCTAGCACTGCCAGAAGCACAATAGTAAATGATTCCCTGCACCAAGGAGCGCCACGACTGCTGGAAGCACTCCCATTGTTTAGTAATGGCTTCAAGAGAAAGCCAAGCACCACCAGGACTTGGACGACTATGAGTTTACGAAGTAACGCTGTATCGCCGCTAGATGCCACGAGACACACTTCAATGGAAACACAATGCCAAGCATGCATCAACTCCTAAACTCTGCCGTGAATATCCAAACCACTGTTCCTGGTCTCGGCGACAACCCATATATTGCCAAGAAAAACACAATCAACCAATCAACTGCTCCATGGACCCCCTGCACTCCACACTCCGTCAGGCACAAGAACAAGCTACAGTCGACCCGTGTCGTAAGGTTGCACGATAAGGATGCAAGGGCCTTTGGAGGCCATGTCGACACGTTGCTAGCGGGGCGCGGCCAGCGAAAGTCGCTAAGGATGGGCCGAAGGGGCAAGGATGCAAGGGTACCCTTGGGAAGGTTGCCCATCCTTATTCTGCGGGTTGACAGTGTGCTTGAAAGTCCAGGGATTCCCTCCCATATACCTTGCGGATAAGCCGATGGAACTCTGAGGCGCGAGCCGCCCTGCGGTCTCCCAATCGCTGCCGAACATGTGCGCACCATGAACTCTTTGCAGTTCGCTTGATTCCCGAAGCCATCTACGAGACAGCGTGCGCCACTTCTTTCTGGTTAGTGCGCTGATGATTCGGGCAGCATCTCACTTTCAAGCACGCTCGGGTGTAGGGCGCGACGACTCGCCCTGGCAACTCGGGACATCGAACCACAAGCCCTGTCCTGTCGGACTCCAGCGAGATCCCTGGGGCTCCCAGAGGACTTCAGTGGGAGCCCTGCTGGGGCTGCGTGACGCTCCTGTGCGCCGCGGCAGAAGGAGGAGGAGGAGGATGGAGGAGGAGAAGGGAGGAGGAGGAGGAGGAGGAGGAGGAGAAGGGAGGAGGACGGAGGAGGAGGA